CCTGATTGCTTTTCTGCAATTTCATTACAAATACATGTATCAAACTATGTTTTTAAAGCGGGAGGGTCGTCACCTGCACATGCGCGGGAATTGAGTCCCAAGCGACGATAACAACACACGCTAAAAACGCAAAGGGTCATGGGTAGACGCTTGTTTGTAAACAGTGATACGCCATGGCCATCTGACGTATCCGCAGGTGACGACAGCCCCGCTGTAAACATAAAATGTTACTTTACTAAGAGCACCAAGTAATACTTCTACAGTTATTTGATTCTGATGTGTTGCCCTTTTTTATAAATTGGGGAAATTAAACCTTGTGACCACGCTTCTGAAAAAAATGTCCACTGTCTTTGTCAAAGATATTGCATAAAATCACGTAATAAACATTGGCGCATTTATAGTATAAATGCAGATTCGTGGGCACTTGGAGTAAAGCAAAACAAACAAAATGTTCACCCGGAATGCCAACGAACCTGCATCTATACCTTTAAAAAACAATGCCATCTGGTCCTGGGGCGATACTTTTTTCATTTTTAATACTTGCTTTAGTATCGTTAATCGTTATTATTATGTCTAATAGTTCATGATTCATTTCAGGGAACTCTTTTGTTTGTACTCATATCTACCAACTTATCTCTTCCAGCTGTATCTAGCTCCGAAGCTGTAACTGAAGTTGAAAAAGAACCTGAAATATTCGGAGAGACCTATTGTTTTTTTATTTAACCAATTAACAATATTTCTATGGGTGTTTGCCCAATTACCGTCAGTTTCAGCTTATTGACGTTATCACGGCCATATGTATTTTTTTCCGTTTGAATAAACGTAGGTTGAACTTATTATGAACATAGTAATATTTTTTTTTTAATTTTATTTTTTTATCGCCCACGGATCAGAACAACCCCCTAAGAAACGGTGAAAGTGTAATTTGTACGCAAACGCCAATAAGATGATAAAATAATATGTAATTTAAAAACACCTCAACTAGAAGATTATCAGGTACGCCTTCGGACATCACCAATACCTTTAGTTTACCATGGCATGGCGACCAGTGGAACAAAAAAAAAACTAGTTACCTCTTCGGACATCTCCACGTGGATGACGTCATCATCTTTAATGTTTTCCTGAAATGTCACATCAATGGTGTAATCCGATAAGCGTCTCCCAAACGCAGTGAACTTCTGGTGTATTGGATTAAAAACGGATTTAGTACCGCGCTTCAGAGTAACAACGAAATCGCCACTGAGAATATCGTGTCCGTCGAATCCAGGAGTGACTGCGACACCTGCCACCTGAATATCAAAGAGCAATACGAATCTTCTGCATATTACACATCTCTTTACTGCCATCTACCGTTAATTCAGAGAAATGTTCAAATTGCATGCACAGTTCACACGACGAAATAAGGATACTAGGAAAATTTGATCAACACAGTCTTATGAAAGTCTTTGAAAATAGCAGATAGGTTGGGAATATATTGCTTTATTGCTGTACATGGTCGAATGCGAAATAAATTTTCACATTTTCACCGCCTGAAAACTAACGCGGGTGTTATCAAATGCTGAAAACAACTCCCTTCCCATAGGTCGTTGCGCTTCACGCAATAGTACCTCTGCCATAGAAGCCATCAATGTATGCGTACCCGCTTTGTGTAGTGCTGATATAAGTGGTGCGCATCGAACTGATCGGAGTCCGGGCCAAAATAACTCTAATAAAACTGTAATTTTGGTAACGGTATTTGTTGAGATTTGTTGTTGAGACAACTCCTACATGTGCAACATATATCAATTTAGTTATTCGGGACTGCTTCAAAGTTGCTGTTTTCACCGACTCTTCGACCGGCGTTCCACAGCAGCTTTCACGGAGCCCTTATTACTACATGACACAGTGATTGGATGTTATTTAATATAGTACCGTTTACCGATTTCTAAAATAGGAGTTCATTTTCGAGATATGACAAGAGAAAGTTAAGTTACGAATCCAGGATCATACTAGAGAAATAATGGAATTGGTAACAAGGGTGAACCCCCTAGAGGCCAGGGAAGTGATCTATTTGAACTTACCTCGTCATCGACAGTTCCGGGTACTTGATGCCTACGTTTGACTGGACGGGTGAACTGGATATCCGTTCGCACGGTCTTGCCATCTTCTTTTACGTAGAAAGAGAATCTTTCCACGCCCGATAAGTTTGGTTCAGATATACCTGGTAACAATCCTTTCAAGAAGGCTCGTTTTATATTCCATGTGTAGTGGTTATTGCTGTCTGTTTCGTATATTTTATGTTTAACATGTAATTTGTCCTGAGAACATCCACCAATAGTAAACCACAAGAACTGAAAACACGGATCTGTCAGGAAATAACACACAGAACACGTTAATGTATATTCATATGCATGTAGATTCACGTTTAACAAAATATGTAATATTTAAATTAAGATGAGACCCAGGTTCGCATTTTTTCACAATCTTATGATATCAGGCCAGCACCGGTATCGAACATTTAGAAATTTAAATTTAAAAAAAAACGCGTCAACAAGTTTGAGTATTCTTGTCATCATATTTAACTGTTACAATGATCCAAGTCATTGTGTTCCATATTTGTTATCAGTTACACGGCACAGACAGCTAAACTGGTGGTCGGAACACGACCCATCACCCATATCGGCCCTAGTCCGTCGGTTATTGACGTGAGAATATTGTTTCATTACGAATACATTGATTCAAGTCATATTGATAAAATGTACCTGATCGTACACATTGAAAATAGCGTGTATGGCGTAGAAACGGCCAGAATAAAAGTAAACCCGATGTGAATAATCACTAGTGTGAATTTATTCATACGTTGACATGTTGAACACAAAAGAATTAGGTCGCACAGTATAAAATGATACGGCTGGTTTCCTAAACTATTGATAACAATATATATATATATTTGTTGTTTGGTTTGCGTATGTCTATTTTGAGTGAAAAAGTGCCAAAACACAGATGTCCAAGGTAAACAAGAATATGTTCACACATATTCAATAAGAGCTACACAAGTTTCATAAACTTCACAATTAGAGTGCTATCATCATTGTGTAAAATATACGTTTAAAAATAAGTGCGCCCGAGGCTTAGTCCCATCCTTTAAAAAGTATATATCCCTACACAAATATGATAAAATCAAAATTGCAAATAGCCGACGTGATCTCGCTGCGAGCGAGAGATTCACGAGACTTTCGCAAACACTGTTCCATTATATATCGCCATCGCATAAAGTGTTCTGAATACTACGGTCACGTGGATCAAGTGAAGCGATCGATGGATAGACGCGAATAGAACACTACATATATATTTTCAGTACTGTGTCGATTCAAATACAATTTTCATCTCTGTAACATTAAAATAGATAATTCAATTTCTTTTTATCATTCTTTAAATAAGTCTTCAACATAATTATACACTATTTTAAGGAATGCGTCGTGGATTTTCTAATTTCCGAGATTCATAGCTAAAATCTAATATATGATGCTTCATGGTAATTTTCAAAAAATAACAGCGCAGTGAATTACTTGCTGTAATACACTACAAAAACAGCTCGTGGCGATATTCAATGAGTTGGCGGCGACCATTTGATTCACAAATATCGATCATATACGTAGCAAATATTGTGGAAGATTTGCATGCAATGTGCATAGACAACTGAAATCAACACACCTTTCGTTTCAACCATCAAATAATATGGTAGGAATTGCATGAGAAACTTCTCTGTAGTTCGATCACCATTAGTCATTTCTTGTAACATTATATCATCACCAAACTTTACAGGCATTCCATTTCTTTTATAATCGTTGATAAACCGAAACCGCAAATAATAATCAGAAAATAGGTTTTCTGAACTATCGTCCTCAATACGATAAAATCCTTCCCCCTGCTTTCTGGTCACGACACCACTTTGGGCAACAAGAATAAACGGGTCGCCATAGTGAACCTCGTCTTTTTGGACATTCATGATGGCAATTGGCGATAATATGGAGAAGGCCTTTCGCTGCTCTTCTGTAAAGATAAACACATAGCATAGAATAACATTTCGTTTTAGTATTTATCATAAGCATAGATACCGATTGGTTGAAATTTCAGTATTCATCATAATAATGGATACCGATTGGTCGAAACTTCAGTATTTATCATAATCATGGATTCCGATTGGTCGACACTTCGGTATTTATAATAATCATGAATACCGATTGGTCGGCACTTCAGTATTTATAATAATCATGGATACCGATTGGTCGGCACTTCAGTATTTATCATAAGCATGGATTCCGATTGGTCGAAACTTCAGTATTTATCATAAGCATGGATACCGATCGGTCGACACTTTAGTGAACAATAAAAAAAACAGCAGTGCAGATGATATGTTATGTGAAAAGTGTCGGCAAGGTAAGTGACTCACTTTTCACAAATCGAGTTCGAGAGCGGAAACTTTGGAGTTGTAATCCATCCCATCTACTGCCAAAATGTTCCTTGTCTAAGCTACTATAACACGACCAGTGGTATGTGAATGGATACGGCACCTTCTTTGTCTTTTTCCAGAACCACGCACCCTATAAAAATTATAATATTGCTAAATGTAAAGTAAAAAAGAGTGATTGATTGATTTATAATTTGTTATTTTTTTTATAATAAATCTTCCATTCAGATTTGTTCTCGTTCAAGAGTTAGCGATACAAACTTAATTAAGTATATTGGCCATGACATGTTAATTTCAACTGATTACATGTGACGAGAACATTCTCAGTATGGTGGTATCTCTTTGCTCTATAAGCATCATAATGATTTGCATATCCAGATGATGCAATACTCATTACGGTTGACTGTAGAACCTGTAACCAACCTGACTATATACAATTCTATTTATGCTTACCGTTGTTTTTGTATAGTAAGCACGAAAATCGACGTGCTCCTTGGCAGTAAATATTAAGCAATATCCCCCGTTCTTTGACGTGTAGGTCCCAGCTTTGCAGGAGGACATTCGCTTACAGTGGTCTTGACAGTCTTCCCCCGACAAGCCTACGGAAAAAGGTGAGCGATGAGGTTATCCGCTTACATGTTTGCATGTTAATGGGTTGATATATTCAAACCTTGAAAATAACTTAACGAGATCTCGTGGTTTCTCTTCACTCGCGTTGACTCTGCATGAACGCGGATGTCTACAACCAGGAACAGCGGGAATGAATGGATATATAGTAAAATACTCACCAGTAAACACAGATGATTGTGATGGCACGTGGTGATTTACTTCCTTCATGAATTTCACCCAATCGCCACCAAATGCATTTGAAGGTCCGGATGGATATTGTCTCGCCCACGTGCATAAACTGTTTGGAAGGGGTACTATGGTTACCACGGTGTCATAGCTCTGATCTAGTGATATTATCAAACGCATGACCATACAAGTAACACAAACATTAAGACGGTAGCGTAATAACTGAAAGACCTTTCCAATATGAATAGAATACAACAATCAAGAGAACATAAAACGACAATGAATGAATGAATGAATGAATGAATGAATGAATGAATGAATGAATGAATGAATGAATGAACGTTTGTTTTGGGGCTTAACTGTTTAATCCAATAAACAGCCGATCGAACTCACGTAACGTAACGTAACACGATGTCCTTTATTATTAACCAACGTAATCGACATTAGGCCCGAACAATATGCTCGTATACTGAGTCAATACAATAAAACATGGACTACCCGCTGAGATTATCGTATTACATACATCAATGTATCCTATATACCAGGGCAGTATAATAAAACAGTGTATCTCCCATATACTATACATACCATTATAAGCGCTTGGTCTGATATACACCCGATTGTCCCCTTCCTCTTGTAGACTGTATGTTTTCCCGTCATTCGTACTCATGGATAAATATATACCATCACCGAAATGTACACTGTTTCCGATCTCGTCCACGCCTCGCTCGCTGAAATCTCCGCATCTCAAGTTCGGAATGCGACTACAATAGCTCAATAGTCTACCCCTCAATACCTAGTGAGAGATCATAGGATTGTAAACAAAATTGTCATCGATCTATAAATATAGTAGAATTATGAAAATTAAATATAGAATAAGACTATCAGTAAACTGACATGTTTGTCTTTTGTGTCATGACAAAGCAGGAGTATTTTTGCACCCCAGTTTTGCTACTGCCGGGTGAGTCGTCTATGAGCGACAAGAAGGCCACAAACGCGTTAACGTCGTTTTCTTCAGTAATGGCCCATCGTTGAAGAGTATTTCTCACTGTATTCTGGATAACGACCGAATACACGACCACACACAGTGTCGGTTTCAACGACACTGCCTTTGCATACGTAATTTTGATGTATCAGAAGCGCTCCGCAACTAGAGGGTGCAATTGATAGAAATGGTGTATTTCATTTACAAATATACGAACTAATGAGTGCTTTCTTACCTGTTCTTTTATATTTATTTTCTTCTCTTTCGGGAAATTATCTTCTGTTAACAAATCCACAATAACTTGTAGATCGTACTTTATTGGTACTGGGTTGTCAAACACTGTACTCGACCATTCCTTCAAGGAATCTGTGCTGCCCTCCGCTATCTCTCCAACTCCCGACTGACCGCCGAGAAAGAACTCTGTACTAGAGGTCTTCGACTGGGACAAAGATTCCTTCATGGAGTTCGTTATCTTAGTTTCCATGGCTGTATTGAATGACGCTATGCCTGGAATCAAATTACAATTTTGAAAGTTGCGAATATTTAGAGAAATTAACCCAACTAAACACACATCTTCTTCTATTCGTATGGCCATAAATTCCACATATACTAGCACGTAGATAAATGCTTATAGGTGAGCTGCATAACTTCCGGGCACTGGGCTTTTTCTAGTTACTGTTCATTTGTTTGATGGGCGTTAGAACAAGCGTGAACATATAAGGATAAATTGGTCTACTAAAATGCCTTCTCGGTAAACTTTCTATTTTTACAACTACATTATCTTCATATCAATGGGATATCCATCACGCTAGGCACTCATTAATTGCAATCATAATACTAGCTTGAGGCCGAGAAATAACGTCATAATGTGAAAACGTGTCAGAAATACGTAACGTTTGAAAGCATTTGCTACTTTCCATTGCGAACATGCACACATACATGATGTGACTTCAACCTTTGATCTTGTGGTCTTAAAATCTAACCAGGTCTTAAAACTCATATGGTGAATATGTGTAAAGTTTCAGTGGTATGTGACTTTTCCTTGACATGTACCCACAGCTATTGCGACATTGACCTTTGTCTTGAAATTCTAACTTAGTAACTGAGTCTTGAAGGTGTGTAACAATTTAATTACATTGCGAACATACACACTGTGACATTTACCTTTTCTTCTTTTAAATGTAACCAGATTTGTTGGGTGACGTTGAGAACATGTGTGCAACGTTTGAAGGTACAAGCTATTTTCACTTACAGCGAATACACGCAAGCACTTATTGTGACCTTAACCTTTGACACCCAGTACACTACAGTTGTCCTAGTTGTGAGTGTACAAAGGTGGTTTACCTTCATATGTTAATATTATCGGGCCTTTGGATTGTCTATGGTGCCTACCATGCTATACTTCAAAAGCAAATGGCTGAAAAACTCAATTTTCAGATGGTAAACCATAGACCTTAGAAAGAGCCTAAGGTCTATGGGGAAACTAACTACATCCTGTAAACATGGGGGGCAACTTATACCAGTACATGCACATGATATACATATATTTAACATTTGCACAATGTCGCACCTGGAATTTGACAGTCAGAAATGTATTTCTTTTTTCATTATTTATTTGAGACTAATTGGGTTAATTACAGAGAATACGTAGTGTCTGCATATTTGTATGGTTCCTGTATGAGTGTTTTCCCCATGTAATGCATTATCACGCTTTCCCATATACGCTACGCAGCAACAATGATTGACAACACCGCAAAGGATGATGGGAGAAAACCAGAGGTGCAAGAAACGAAATTGCGGGAGCATGATGCCAACTCTTTCACTCTGCCGTGTTTCACTGAAATAACGGACCGTGAGTTATAATCTTAGCACATACTGGTGAACGATAATACTGAGATCTTCCAGGACTCGTGATTTGAGTTGAAATTGATTGCAACTCGTAGAATACCAAAAGTTCAAGTTACCGACGACTAAAGAAACCGCCATATTGGGAGCACGAGACCGTACAAACAAGTACAGTGTACGCATTCAAGCCAGTGAACGTTTTCCGCACAGAAA